AAATGCAACAATTTTACTGCCAAGGTATACCACATTTGTTTGTAATCAATCATTCATTTTCAATAATGTACTCACGTATTTGAATTAGTGTTGTCTTAAGGGTTCTCTAGATCATGGTGGACGTGGTGCTATACTAATTAACCGTATGGTAGAGGCATAGTGCCCACGTCCCCTGTTCCTTATCCTTATCCTTAGGCAGACAGCCTCGATGTGCTTTGCTATATTTAAATAACCAACCAACCTAATTTATAGGCAATTTCTACACGTAGATTTCTAAACTAAGAAAACCAGATACTTGCCAAAGTCTAGTGTAGTTATCCAATACGGAAGAATATGACAGATATGATGTTGATGGTTGTTTTGCCAATGTCATTCACTTAATTTGTACATTGTGGTAGAGTGGATGGAATGAGCAGAAGTTCAGGTATTAAAATTTTGATTGATACAAAATTAGCAATATATCCACAGAGATGGAAAACTTCTTAATTTTTTGAAATTATTTTACGAGAAGAATCTTAATAAATTCTAATATAATAGAAAATGTAAGAGAAATAATAATTTGAAAATAAATATAACAATAATCATCCTTTATTATATTACTAATGATTAGAATTCAAGTCTTGATAAATTACAATTTGACTTTTAAAAAGTGTTATTCTGAAACCTACGCTTACATAAAAGCATATTTTGCTATGAGAAAAAAAGGGTCTTGGATGATAATTAGAGGCTCCTTCAAGCACAAGCAACAGTTTGTTTAAGAAATTTATTATATGCAGTGACAACCACAAAATACCTCTGGCCATAAAAAAATCTTCAAAATAATTTTTATTTTATTGCCTTTGCTACACAGAAAAAAGAAGATAAAAATCTAATATTCTAATAAATTTTGCCACTGTTAATCTTTCTGTAGTAGAAGACAGCATGTTTTAATTAAATTTTTGTTTGATGTGTAATACTTATAATGCTTGATGTTTGTAATGATTTTGTAATGTTTGATGTACTCAGAAGTCAGCAAAATAAATTTCATTGAATATAAAATGAAGTTAAGCAAAATAGCAAACAATAAAGGTAAAATTTTACTTTTCTGAAAGAAAACCAATGGTAAACTTTAATTAATTGATTAATTAACTGATTCTTTATAAATTTAAAAAAAATAGCTTTTCATGTATTATTAATAAAAATAAAAGGTATTACTAATAAAAATGAAAATAAAGAAATCCCTCATGAATGATCCTCAGTAAAATTTATTTGGAAATTTGAGGTTCAAAATAACTGTTGCAATTCATTGAAGATTGTAGGAAAGTGTGTAACCCAAGTTTGGTGTTATTATTGCTTACAACAAAAATACCAAATTCCAAAACATGCCAATATACAAATTTATGTATATATTGGGAACTTTTCAATAAAAAACTTTCATTTTTATTCTGATATGTTAAGAAAATATATCTACTTTAAGATGATGGCAAAAATTTTATAGCTTATAATTCAAAAATTTTTTCAAAAATTATTTTAAAAGTAATCATAAAAAATGTGCAAATTTTAATTGGATTGAACCTAAATTCCGATTTCTAAAAGAAGGAATCAAGTAAGTTTAATAAAAAAAAATAGATTAATAAATATATACCAAATTCAATTAGCAATGGGGAGGTAAAATTTTGAAAGCTGATTTTTTAAAAACAACTTGAACAATTTTTAAGAAACTTATTAGTTAGGAGACATATTAGTTCTGAGAAGAATCCTGCAGATTTGGTTGCTTGTGAAGTCAAGGTCTAACAAACTTTCATCTTTATACTTGTGTTGCTGTTGTGACTTATCTCATATACCTGATAATAACATCATAACAAGCCCAAGAAATTCATCATAGCAAGGACTGCAAGATTGCACCTGTCATTGGCAAGAGCCTTGAGCACCAAACAGGTGAACAACTTTGCTCTGTTCCGTCCCCAATTTTGATGGACAGCACCCCCAGAAGGATGGGTTCAAAGTTCTCCCATCCCTCTTCCCTTACCACCAACCTCTCGAGAGGACTTTTGACTTGTCGTATATTTACAAAGCCCCCAATGCTGAACAGATACTATACATTTACAAACATCCATGCTGATTGGTGTACCGAAGGACCCAGGTTTGAATCCCGGGCCCTTCGGTACAGCAGTCAGCATCGCTAACCACTATTCCAGTTGGGCGGCTTTATATTTGAGGTTCAATAGACCTGTTAATCTTGACATCAGTGTTACATTGCAATAGGTACAAACTTAAAGGTTAACATTATATGTGGATTCGACCATAGCACTGGCATGGATCAAATCTCTCCCCACATCAACTCCAGGCTTTTGTTGGAAATCACATGGCAAAAATTCAGGCATTATCAGAGAATTTCAAGTAGCGACATTTGTTCTTAGAAGAATCCTGCAGATTTGGTTCCTTATCAAGTAATTAGTAAACTTTTATCTTTATATTAGTCTAACAAATTTTCATCTTTACATTTGGGGTTGAATGGACCTGTTAGTCTTGCCATCAAAGTTATAGAATAGAACAATATCGACAATAAGGACTTTATGAGTGTGAACTGAAAGGGTCTCCTGAAATTTCCCTAAATATCACTTCTGAAATTAGTATTATCACTTCTAGTACTGATTTCACTAACCATTTTAAGTTATAATTTTGTTAAACTTATTCATATTTGTAGTTTCATTCACAGGTCTATTTCCAATTATTGCCAAAGGAAGAGATCATTTGAATAATATTTAAAGATTACTATAATATTTAAAGAAGGAATCTAAGCTCTTATATGCAGTAAAAGTCTAAAAGATAGCCATGTAAGTAATTTAAATCCCTTCCTTGACAAAGACAAAATAATTACAGTTGGTGGCAGATTAAGTAGTCATCTTTGTCCTATGACCAAAAGCATACAAACTTGCTGCCCAATAAACTTAAACTGCCCAGCAACTTATGGCACCAAAAGAAAGAATATCAGTAAGTCTCCTGTTTGTTGTGACTGGCATCAACTTATGCAGACCCTTTTATATAAAATACAAAAAATCAATGAAGTGCCTTAAATAAGGTATACATTGTTACTTTTGGGTGCTTAACTACATCTTGATTTTGCTACAGATCTAATATCACAAGCTGTAATTACAACATTTAAAAGGGTTTTTGCATGACACGGTCTTTGCTCAACTGTATAATCAGACAATGTTACCAAATTTATGGGACCCAACTCCTGCATGAAAAAGTTGCTGAACCTCATCAAAATTTCTCTCAGTCTATCATTACAATTAGCTTCTGAATTATTATTTGGAAATTTAATCTACTGCAGTCTCTCAACTTCAATAGTATTTTTGAGTTTAGAGTGAAGTCTCTTAAATCTCATCTCAAACAAACTACGAGAAATGCAAAATAAACCCTTGAGGAATTTTTGCCTGTCATAAATCAAACTGCAGGTATATTAAATAATAGATCTTTGTTATCTTTATCTTCAGATCCTCAGATTATCAGACTTCAAAATTTTGACCCTTGGTCATTTTTTTAATTGGACAACTCCTTTATAATCAGCCTGAACTTTGCATTTCAGATATTCCCAACAACAGACTTTCCCGCTGGAAGAAAATTGTTAAAATTAACCAAATAATATAGATTGATCAAGAGATTACCTAAATAATCTCTAGAAGAGAAGTAAATGGTCCCTTAAGGGGAATATAAAAATAGGTACTCTTTTATTACTTGTGGAGGATTAACTACCTCTATGCACTTAGACAGCAGGCTGTATCCATGATATATCCCTGGAAGTTATGGTAATATCTACCATATGTATTTTGTTCACGAACAACTGAAGAAGTGAAATTGTATTACAGTTTATTGTACTAATATTTACATATTTCTTCTAGTGTTAAATTCAATTTTTTGTTTGTTGACTGATATGTTGCATTTAATTGTTTAAAATTGATATGTACTTAACTTGTACTTAATGTCATGAATAATGTACAGCAGTTTTGAAATTAATATTTCAGCATCGGGCAGGATGTTGGTGCTAGACTGTTGCATGAGTGTGCATCTTTGTCCTTCACCAATGTTGCTTAGCAACAAAACCTGTAATGTAGTTGTACAACCTAGCTTTTTCTTGTTCTTTGCAGCTTTCTAATCTTTTTACTCGCTTCATTTTGAATGACTGCTAATTGAGCAGTTAAATTATAAATAAATAAAAGATTACATTTCTTAATTAATTTCGCTATTTTGTAGTTAAAGTGCAAAAACAAATGCGATGCATTTGACATAACAGAATAAAAATTATTTACATACAATTGTACTATAAGCAGTGGTGAGCTCTGGAAATTTTACGAAAGAGCATGCACTTCAATAAGCAAAAACAAAATATTAAATTCTAGCAAAATGTTTTAATTTCATAAAAACAGAAAATGTAATTAATAGTGTGTTAACACAAAACATTTCAAAGAAAAAAAATTATACACACAAAATATCAAACTTGATAATTCGCGCATAACATTTCTATCATCACTGCCAGGCTTTTAAAAACTCCAAATTTAGGGAACTGGTTCAAAAACTTATAAATTATTTTCAACAGCAATTCATTGTTTTCATTATAGAAATATAAATTCACAATATGATTTAACCATCAAAGAATTTAATACATTAAATTTCGCTTGATATAGTTTATTGTCAGCATGGATATTTTATATTTATAGCCCGAGATTTTTTCACAGATAATGAAAAGCAATTTTTTATAATTGTTGTTTTAGTGATTTAGATGGGAAGTAACTAACAGGACGACGAAGATTTCAAAATTATTTGCAATACCAAAAGTTTCACATATCTTTCAAAGTCTATCTAGTAAATTTTGACTGAATTGAATTATTTCTTTATAAGTAAACACTCATAACTTAATTTTAATTTGCCTGCATTTTGTACACACATCCCACATAGTACTGAATATAAACTATAAATGTTTTAATCAAACTGCATGTTATTATAAGATAAAAAATTACCTTTATTTGGTGGATACCTAGGTCGTTTGCCACCACCAACCAGAGCTAAATAATTACACCTAAATAGCATTTCAACATATCCAATTCCACCATCAGAAAAATCTAAATACAAAATATTTTAATCAGAAATTTTAATATTTTATAGCACAGAAAAATTTTATAGTTGTGTTTAAACAGTAACTACATAATCAATAATACAGTCAAATCCATGACTTTGTTACACAACAGAACCAAAATATCACACTTGATCAATAGTTAATTTCTGGATCTATAAAACTGTACTTATGAATGATTTTGAAAGGTTCAAATAAAGCTGGTTTCAAATTTGTTGGGTGAATTTCCAAGAAACTGAATATATCAAGCATGCTTTTTTTTAACAAACATATCTCAGGGCAAAATGCAGTCACTGTTCAGTACTTGGTTAGAGTAAATTTAAGGGTGCCTCTTGGATTATCGATAAGTTGTTGTTTCATTTATGGTAATCTAAGTAGTTAAATGCAATGGAAAAGCTATTATGACATAATTAGTTGTGTGATTGTGGTGAATTTGAATGATGGGAAAAAATTTGGAAAGCCT